ACGTCAAACCAGTTCCTGTGTCAGCGAGCAAAAAGTTTCTGCAATTTTGATAACATTATATTTGCATACTGTTATCTCCTGTTGATGCCAATTTGTGGCTCTATTAATCGTTTTATCTTAAGTTTAATCCTATCACAGCCTCTTTAGCACAAGTCGTCTACTAGTTCATTCTCACGGGGGTGTCAGTGGCATCGCAGGCCTTAAGAACGCATGCATACGCCAATTACACACGCTATTTCTTGTCGGCTTAGGTAAAAGACAATTTGATAAGCCCTCTAAGGTGTCCCTCTTTTCGTTTCCAACGGCTGAAAATGTGACAAAAACTACGTGCATATAAGTTCGAACGTCAGGTAGTTGGCGTGTGTATTACACTGGCTGCACTAGCAAGAGTAGTCCGATATCAATAGAACGTCACAAAATATACCAGAATGTATTAAATAAGCTATTATTGGAAAAGGAAAGCAAGCGCACGTTCAAGGCTACATTATAAATCCGACGTAATCTGATTTAAATCCTTGTTACTTTTTACCGGGTTGAAATTGAGGCGGGCTATCCAGATACTTTTCCCTTTGCCGTACTTTCGCACGGCATTTCGAACAGATGTAAGTAGTTCTTCTGCGAGTCATTTCGCAGTATGCGATTACTTACTGAAAAATACCACCCCTCCATGTTATGTTTGCGTGTGCTTTAGTGTTGGGTAAGAGTTTTGTCTATCTTTAAGATATGTTTGTTCATGGATAAGTGAAGTAAGTTGCATTCCGAGATGATATGATGAAAAGAAAGAAGATCTTCGGAAAATCGAATTGTACTCGTGAATTTTCGAACAAGTATCACGTTTGTTCATATGCATATGCGGCAACGTATGTTGTCCTACGTTGGCTTGCATATATAATGTCAGTGTTTTGATAGCAGTAAATATGACGCCGTCATCCAAAGTTCTGTTTTTACTTAAGACTGATGAAGAGGCACCGTGCCCAGTTACAAGCGGGTTTCTAACCCACAAAATTATCTGCATATATATGCAGACATGGGGACAGTGCGCATAAAACTTTTCTCGGCAAAAAGAGGATAACTACAGTCACTTTTACCCTAGCTATCTCGATTTCCTTTTCTTACCGCTGAAAAACGAGTAGACATGTTGATTAGCGGTTGTCACACGTTCAGGGCAAGGATCACGCTCGGAAAGCCTGAGGTTTATTGAGGTTACTGCTGCCGGTTGTAGGCGCGGCGCAGCTGTATTACGGGTGAAAAGAAGGACAAAGGCCCATCAGTAGGCAGGAAATGCATCGATTTACGAACTATGGGAATCACCCGGTGGGCACTGGAGTGACGACGTGGCTGTCTTGTTGGCGAATTTTAGGTACTTCAATACTTACTGCAATGTAACCTGCTTTTTGGTCATCTGTGACGAATACATAACGGTAAGCGTACGCTGGACGTGGCTTACAAAGCGACTTGCATTTACAAATCTGTCGGTAATTATTATTACCTTGATCACTATCTTGTGACATTCACAACACGTGCGACTTTATTTGCGGCAGATTACTATTTCAAACGCATAAGCAAACATCGCTTTGTTGAAATTTTTCGTTGTCTTCCCTTGAAATTCGAGAGGATTGTGCCCACTCTATCCCTTTTGTGATATTCTCGTGTTTATGTGCATAGTATTGGCATAATTTCGTAGTCTCCCACAGATATCAACAAATGAACAGACTCGCACTAAATGCGTTGAAACTAAACATCGGGAGTCTTCCCTTGCGCATAACTTCCGCTGCGTACCATGAAAAAGTGCTTGACCACTATGAAAATCCGCGTAACGTTGGTTCCCTGGATAAGAAGGACAAACATGTTGGAACAGGTCTTGTTGGTGCCCCAGCCTGCGGTGATGTCATGAAATTGCAAATAAAGGTAAATCGAAGAAATCGCTTTAAAAGAAGTGTATCTTTTCAATTTTCTAGTTTGTGTACCTGTCATTCGAGCTACTTTGTGTTACAATCATATTTATACTCCCTCGCTTCTGGGTCACTTTTGCTTTTTTAATGCGGTCAAGGTCGACTACTGAACCCCATCAGTCCTGCGAAAACCCTAATTGAGGGCGATTCGAGCCAAAATGTCCCTTTCACTTTAATAACAATTTTGTTTAAGGTATTTGACCGCCTGGTTCCTCAAAATGGCAGACGAATAGGTTGACTAATGGCATCGAAGGAAATACAAATTAGTTAGACTGCCTCGCACACTTGACGTTGTATGTTATAGTTTCTTGTAGCTAAGCCTTATGCATGTTGTCAAAGTTGTTAATGTGACCCAACAGGCATCTTAGTGCGACTTCGACATCGAAACTGCGCGCAATCTTTTTCAGACTTCAGCCAATGGGCAGTTGGGCAAGGTGGGCCACCTGATGCATCTTTTTGAACGTCTGACTAAATGTATTCTGAATGTAATAGGTTGCCATCCAGTCCTATTATCTGCTGCAATGATTTTCCGTAAAGGAGGTCTGACGCTTTCATCAGTTTGCACGATACAAGGCTGGTTATATTCACGGCAGCATTCAAGAATGTGCATCTTCGAATTACTTATTAGTAAATCCATATCCAGCTCAGAATCTTGCCATCCCGCATCTTTCATGTCAACGGTAAAACTACCGAAAGGTAAAAATATTCAACCGCCACGGCGTCCTTCGCATCATCAACAGTCATTCAATATCGTGGATTTCCTACTAAACTCGTGAAGAAATTGTATAGCTATTGGGCATCTACTCACAGCTTCCTAGCTTCGGACTGATAGTCCGTTCAGTCTTTTGTAGAGGAGGGAGCCTTTACTACTTGTACTTGCAAACCTACACCGGATTTACCTAATCGGAACCTTTGCTACTTGGGGTTTTCAATGGTTGGTGACACAAAGGTGTCTTGTAAGGACTATTTTGACCTTAGTCGAAGGATTCACTTAGCAGGCGTTGACGAGCGAGAAAGTGGTGAGAGTTATGAGCGTTGCCAATCTAGGCATCCAAAGCTACAAAGCCTTAGGCTGGCTAGACTGTTGTCTGCCTGGCTAGTCGTGCAAAAGTCGTTTGGAGTCCAATCTAGCGGATGTTTGCAGATGTGCTGACAGTAAATGTTGGGTCCTGGTCGACAAAGCTATGCGTTCTCCATTGCTACCGCCAACGCAGCCCAGTAGCTGTCTACTCTGTCCATTCCGCTCTCCGGTAATAACCAGCACATCGCGGAACGTCTTTCGGCCAGATCCTGCGGCTGCAGATAGGTTCGTTGGTAGCTGAATTTGGTTCATACACATAAACGACGGAAGTTTTGGTAATATTACACTTCGGTTATACGTATTCCGGCCGATCATTTACTATTTATTTAGTAAACACCGTCTGGCTCACTCACCACAAGTCGATAATCACAC